CCATAGAGCTGGAAGGGAAGGTTACCTGATCGACCGGTTTTTATCCGAGAGACCCTTATCGGGATTAATTCTCACGGTTTCCGGCGATCAGGGAATTGGATGACCTCCCCCGTGCTACGTGGTACCGCGGCGCTGCTGCCGGCCTTAATATGGTGTGGTCGCGGCGTGGGGCATTCGGCCACCGCGGTTGAGGCGCATTTCCCCCCACACACACCCCCACGAGTCGACGGGGCAAGCACGGGAGGCACGAGACAGCATGAATAGCGGGGTCACAGGGGCTGTTGCGCATAGTCATGGAGGGTTGGGATAATTGCGCTTGAGCGCGCAGGCCCTATTGTTAGGGAGGGTAAGGGATTAATTAGGATTTACGCCTTGCACGCAGCACACTGATTAGCATATCAACAGCGCCTGGGGACTGCCGTGCGCGGGCTTGGGGTGCACGAGCCCATTGTTCAGCGCAGCATCCCCTTTGGAGGTAGGGAGGATAAATAGAGGGGCGCAGAGGGAAAATAGCCCCTTCTCTCCAGGCCAGCGGACCAGCAGGACTTCCAGCCAGCGACCCGGACGTCCGTGCGACGCATCGAGGTACGCTGTTAGCGCAGAGAGCAGCGAACCTCCGCGGGCACCAAGCAGTGAGTGGGGAGGTGAAGTAGGGTATCGTAAGCCGATAAATAGGGAATAGGTACAGGTTTAGTGGAATAGGCCAGCCTCGTCGACTCACTGATTCCACATCAATTCGCAGGTAGCATATAATAAATCATTAATAGCGAAGCGTGGTCTCGCGTGATCTTGTCGTGCGGTGTGAGCGTGTGGGTGCGCTGTGTGCACAGTGGTTCGCCACGTGAGTGAGCGCTGCGCGGAGCTGAGCGCGCGGGTTGCGTGTGGGAACGCGTGTGGTACTGTGTGTGCGTAAGCTCGCGGCGTGCGTAATAGGCGTACCCCAGGTGCGCGATCATAACGCAAGCGGCCAGCAGACGGCGAGCGCTGCGCAGAGCGGCGCAAGAGTGGGTGTCGCGTGTGTTCACTCCGTGTGTGATACAGGTGCGCGATCATAACTTGCGTAGTTGGTGTGGAGTTGGAGTGCACGGAGCGGCGTGTGTGTGTGTGCATACGTTCGTTACATGTCGGATACGGATGCGCATTGGTAACGTGCCGCACAGGGCTATACTGCGAGCACGGCGTTTGATTGACGATGATGTGCGCACGTATGCTCGCAGCGTGGGAGCGCGGCGCGAGGCTGTAACAGTAGGGGCGTCGCATTCGAATGCCGGCGAAACCGTAGCGAGTAATAGGGAGGTGGGGTAACGTAAACGGAATAGGGGATGCAGGCGGGAGGGACCCCGGGGCCAACGGCCCCCACAGTTTCACATGAATGAATAACAGGAGCCTCAAGTAATTCAGGATCAGAATCAGAAGTTTATTTTCGAATAATGCCCATTGAGCTGTGACGCTCTTTGCCAGGGTGACTGGGCCGGTTGACAACTTAATTCTGCATGGCTTTTTAATTTGTAATCTTTCGGATTTTTTTGTTTTGGTGGGGAAATGCTTGATAGATTTCAAATCCAGGGGTCCCTGATTCGATCTTCTGGCGCGACAGCTGAAGATACACTGTGGTGCAACATTTCTTCAACCCCCCGCCCCCGTGTCCCATCCCTCCAAACTCCGCCCCATGAACACAACGGATTTGATACACTTGGGTGGACTAATTCTCCTTTTGGTCCAATTTATGGCAAAAAATCACACCATTTTCTCCATTACCGAAAGAAACCGGTGGTAAAGCGCTGAGGTTTGGTAGAATTAATTGAAAGCAAACGATGTGGATGGGGTGCCTTGGTCCACACAGTGGTGTAAATGGGGGACAACCACAGTTTGTCGATCAGCAGGCAAGTCGTGTGTGGTTGGATAAAGTGTGGGTACCCCCGAAAAAGTGTTGGATTGTTCCAAAAATATGTCACTTCTATTAATGAGAATAGGTTTCCCCCTTTTTTCTGGCAACAAAACAGGTGTTAAGATGTTAAAACACCAAACTGAAACCTTTTACAAGGAATCATGTCTACATTAACCACAATACTTGTGGTCAGAATGCAAATAAAAAAAACGTACTCTGATAATATATGCATTGTCTTTGAAACTGATTGGTCCACACCAGAGACAGCTTTCTTTGGAGCCTAGTCCTCTGGTCTAACACCGTTTTGAGACGAGGCTGAAAAGAAAGATGTCTCTGGTGTGGACCAATCAGTTTCAAAGACAATGCATATATTATCAGAGTACGTAATTTTGTTTGTATTCCGACCACAAGCATTTGTGACGATGTGTGATGAGGGGGGGGGGGGGGGGTGAGAAATGTGACGTCACATTAAAATGCGCAACTTTAAACACATTCCTCCGAGGGAGCTGGTAGTAACGTTGGGTTGCTCGGTCAATGGTCAGGGTCAACGGCGGCGTGGTGTATTCCGCAAATATGGACCACTTGTTTGGGCGGACACAAGCCGGCGTGAGTAGGTTAACCGTTGAGTTTTATAAGGGCACCACGGGGTGACCACATTAAATACACACTACAATGACGATAGCTTAAAGCGATTTGAAGCATGTTTTATTTTGGGGGGAGGGGGGGGCAGAGCTTTGTGACGTCATATTTGAGGGAGGGGGGGTCTGACTTTTTGTGACGCCGCGTGACGATGGGGGGGGGGGGGGTCAAAAATCGTCCATAATCGCGTGACGTCATTTATGGACGGCCTCTTAACACCTGTTTTGTTGCCAGAAAAAAGGGTACAACCTACACTTATATTTTGGTACTGGCAAAGGAGGTCCCATGATGTAGAACTTCTATTAATGTTCATTTAAAGAATATTTCAACGATACATTTCATCCTTAGAATGGTTACCAATGAGTTTAAAAACAATTAAAGTTATTAAACCGTAACACTAGTTACATTTTTTTATGAAAATATTAAATTAAATCCCAAACTGAGCCTTCAAAAAAAAATCTGTGATATCCAAACAAATTCGAAATCTTAAACTAGTTCCCAGTTCAGAGCAATGAGCGCAGGGCCAATGCTGAATGATCATACGACACGTCTCAGAGCGCACGGTTGTTTTTAAATCCTTTATATTAAGTTCGCTTGCTTGCTTGCTTGCGTGCATGCTTGCTTGCTTACGACCGTGCAAATCTTTCGGTCGTTTTTTAACCCACTTCCCGTGATCAAATCGAGCTGACATTTTGCACACAGACTTGTTGTGCGTGACAATTATTGTTCGTGAAAATGTTTTTCCAAAATTTTAGACTGTTTAGGGAAAACAAATTAAATATTTAATTACCAATTGCTTAATACTGGCAGACAATCATCTGACCCATAGGTGGCAGCCATCTCAAGCCAGAGGACGAGAGGACTCTAGCCGCCACGCATATAAAGGATTTATAGTGAAAAACTTTGTTTTTACGGGTTATACTTATTTCTCTCTCTCTATCTGAAGCCGAGGGGACGTCCCCTCATGGCAGGCAGCTTCGTCCTTGCGTGGCACGGGGCGTGAACACCGCAGCGGCCTGCAGGTGGAGCATTCATCTGCCGGTAGGAGGGCGATACTAAAGCTAAAGGCCATGAATATGGTCCATGTGTAATAACGTTCAGGAGGACTTGGACGCCGGGGTTGGAGGCACACTTATTTATTCCGTACAAGGTACAATACAGACCGGGACGTACAGCACTGGAAGGGGTGTCGGCCCCTTCACCCGTCTAACTGGGGAGTCACGCTCTAGGCTACACCTAGCCTACCTCTAGGTCCTCCACTATCGGGCTAGGGGAGGCTAGCAAACCCAGCCCTGGTTAAGCTGGGATTACGGCGTCCGGAGTCCCCAGACCAGCTCTGACAAGAGCACCGGCTCTGGCTCTCGGGGCCACGCCACTGGCTCGGTCCTGGTCGGCCCTGAGAAGGGCAGCGATCCAGGGGAGTCCAGGGCTCTATCTAGTAGATCTTCCTTCTTCACTGGTTAAGCTTAATACATTCTGCTCGAGCCCTCCGGCTCACCCCCTTATATAGCAACTCGCCCACTGAGGGGTGGGGCCGCGGGGGATCCCAGCTCCGTGTCAGCCCCCCAGGCTGCCCGTGCGGACGTCGCTGTGAGCACCTCCCCGCGCACAGACATAGCCACGCCCAGTGTGTTTGTTTACCGTCCGACACAACTGTATAACACCCCCTCCGTAACACCCCTACATATGTAGCACGACGAGCTATACCGATCTATCTGTTCGCACATTTTGAGTGCTAGCCCCCTCGTTTGATTTAAATGAAACCTGCCAAACCTCGGCGCTTTACCACCGTTTTTTGTGGTGATGGAGACAATGGTGTGACTTTTGCCATACATTGGACCAAAGGGAGAATTTGCCACCCACGTGTTACACATCCGTTGTGTTCATGGGGTGGAGTTTAGAGGGAGGGGGCACAGGGGCGGGGAGGTAATGCCCCCACCAAACAGGACCTTCATTTAGTTTCAGTAGTTGACGATTAATATGATAAATTAATTAATAATAGAGTAGAAATAATAAAATAATAAAAATAAAACATAATAAAATAATTCTCACGACGTTTCGGCCACAACGCAAGCAGCCGTCCTCAGGTGAAGAACAGGTCTGTCGAGAAGACAGAGTCATTCAGACTCTGTCATTCAGACTCTGTCTTCTCGACAGACCTGTTCTTCACCTGAGGACGGCTGCTTGCGTTGTGGCCGAAACGTCGTGAGAATTATTTTATAATGTTTTATTTTTATTATTTTATTATTTCCCTTCTACGTGACTTTACCGAAAAAACCAAGAAGATGAATCCCTGTAGTCACGAAAGCTTTAAATCGAAACGGAATTGATATTGATAGCTTGAAATCATTTAGCGCGGGGCCCTTGAAAGTGCGGGCCCGTAGCATCTGATACTTTTACTATTAGAATAATCCGGCACTGGTCAGCACCATGCCCAGCTGCCTTTGTTTCCCTAGTCACGATGTTTACTCACCACGCCCAGGGGAGGCCCAGGACCGGTCCAGATATTCGTCACCGGTGTTGGTCGTGAGCAGGAATCGAACTCGGGTCACCGGATTCGTAGCGCAGGGTGCTAATCGATACACGACCGTTCCCCTACGCACGCGCACAAAACCGGTCAGTCTTAAATCGCGGGACTTTCAGAACGAGCAAAATGTGCATGTCATTTCTTGTTTAAGCCACTTGTACCGGTTAGTTTGGTTTAGTCGCATTCCACGTGACCTCAGTCCAGTGGCATCGTGTGTGTCTAGAATGTGTCCAAAGCCGGCGGAGGTTGGGGGATTGTTGCAGACAAATTGACTTTTGTCTTTCAGAGAATTCAAGAATGGTTAAAAAGAAAACATTTCAATTGGCCACTGCTACTATGTATGTATAATTTATAACTGCTGCAGATTGAAACAAATTATTTGGCGATATTGCGCTGGAAGTGGTGCACAAGCACACGGAACCTAATAAAACAACACAACTCAACACAATGGGCAATGGCACGCTTCTTTATGGCACATAACTAGGCTATAAATACGGTGAATTCCGCGTAAACCCACAGAGAGATTGATATATGTGCACCTCATATTGGAACGTACGTTTGTTTACATAACGCACCTTAATTTCTCAGTAAAATTGGACAGCAAGGGCTAAAAGGACATTTAAAACTATATGCAGTTGTTTTGGTGTCTTGTAAATTCATCTAGTCTGATTCCAAAGTTCAGGATTGTTTTTTTATGTGAAACGCCCTCTGATCCTAAATTTTGTAAAGAAAGCGTCACCCAGTGGATTATGCTCATGATTCAGAGACAACACTCCTACATGGTAACCCATAATGCAGTGCGCCAACAATATTATATTATTCTACTTTTAATATAATTAGTTTACTTAGAAATACATGTTTGATTTTTGAAGGGCTTGTCTGTTACTTAGCATCTACTCATAGGGGAACTATTCATATGACAATTTAAAATCGCTCATCAAGAAATGGTACAAAAGTTTTCATGAACATTAGGTGCCATGGCGCGTAGTTGTCTCCAACTCTTATTCACCCTATCTCCCTGGCCTCTCTGTTTATATAGAGTACTAGCTGGAGTACCCGGCTTCGCCCGGGACTTGTATCCACCACGGCCGGCCGCCTTTGTCTCCCCAGTGGCGATGTTAATACGCCACAGCAGTTACTCGTTTGAGGCAGAGTCGACCTAGGGGAGGTTCAAATAATCGTCACCGGTGGTGGCCGTGAGCGGGAATCGAACTGGGTTCGCCGGGTTGGTAGCGCAGCGTAGCGTTAAGCACTACACCCACCGCTCCTCACACACCACACACGCACAGACACACACACAGACACACACACAGACACACGCAGACACACACAGACAGACACAGACAGCACGCTAACCACTACACTACCGTTCCCCGTACACAACACACGCGCGCGCGTCCATAGGTACACATACACGCGCTTGCTGCAGACACACACATACACACACATACATACACGCAGACACACACATACACACATACATACACACAAACACATACACAATGACATGCCTATTCCCATCGCGGGGCACGGGACGTGCCTCCTGGCAAATCCCTCGCAAGCGATCGTACACAGATGGACAGACAACTGAACAGTACGACGTTTGGCTGGTAATTGCATCCAGCATCAGCGAAAGGACGTACTCTGAAATGGGAATTGTTGTGGTTTTACGCTTGTACACACCGGTGGGCCAAAGCAGAGACTTATGAGTGTTTTATCAACGGGACACTTTTTGACTGATTGGCCGTGTGGGGTGGTGGATAAGGGTGACAACACCTTAATAAATAAGGCGATCTAAACGCAATAACGTTGTTTATGAATAATGTTTGCGAAAGCGTACGTGTTACAAATTGACTAACTTTACTTCCTAACCAGGCTAATGTGTACATGATAGACTGGCAGTACACCCAGCCAGCTGAATAAGCAGGCAGCAGTCTACATAATAGACGGGCAGTACGCAAAAGCAGCTTTATGACTATTTGTACTAAGAACATTTAAAGAATCGATTATAATAACCAGGCTACAGTCTACATTATAGAGTGGCAGTACACCCACTCAGCTTCATAAGCAGGCTAGAGTCTACATGATAGAGTGGCAGTATGCTGACAGAGCTTAATAAGCAGGCTACAGTGTACATAATAGACTGTCAGTACGCTCACCCAGCTTAATGAGTATTTGTACAGTGAACATTAAAGTAATCGATTGTTGGCGCGTTGGGTTTAAAAGTAATATTAATAGCACACATTGTGGTGGGGGTGTAGTGAAGAGTAGGAAAAACTTTGATGAATTTACCTCAGAGTGGCGTGGTGGGTGTCGGGGCCTAGTAGCGTGCAAAGCCTGCGGCCTCGCCTAAAATTGTCGACTTGGAAGAGGCAGGGTACGGGTGGCGTTCCTCCCCCCCCCCCTAGCGCGCCAACAACACTGTGTAATGGCCATTATTTAATTAATTACGGAGCTTATGAAAGTGGCGAAAGCGTGGCTAGCGGTTGGCAGGGGCAACCGCCGTCCAATGAAACTGCAGCCCTTGGCGAAGGTGTCGCTAGCCGTTGGCAGGTCCAATGAAAGCGGCGAAGGCGTCGCTAGCCGTTGCCAGGGGCAACCGCCGTCCAATGAAAGTGCGTATGTTCCGGAGACACACAGACACACACAGACAGACAGACAGATTCACGATTTTATATATATAGATTATCAAGGAGGTACATTGCCCAAAACGTCTTCATTATATATATATATTTCATTTTAAACCTACAGTTGTATTGGATTGAGTAAAAAAAACATAGCTGCAAGGGGTCATCTGAAAGAGTCATCTAAACCAAATGAGATTGAAGAATGATTGATTTTTGCATTTATTGCACGGTTGGCGTACGAACGGCGCGATAGAAGTTCAACATGCATTCGTACATATTGCGAGAGTAAAAATTAATGTTTCTTTCATTTCCGTATTTTATCCCGATTGTGCGAACTGGCGACCTCGGAATTGCAAGTCCAGTGTGCTAACCATAATACTACATACCGTGTCAACCCATACCATTTACTCGTATTCTTGGATAGGAAAATTGAGTTTTCAGGTCCATACGGCATACAGCCGTTTAAATCCGGGCAAAACTAAGTTTTGTCTATTTGTTTGCGTTTCTCGCTTGTGATGGGACTTTGTAGGATGAACGTTGAGATTATCAGGGCACCGGATGACCAATAAGGTCTGAATTGGTCTGTAATAAGCTAGGCCCTTATAAGGGGTTGACAGGTTTGCTACTACGGCAGCTCCCAATTTCCCTAAACTTCACGTCTGTGATGAATTTTTGTTATCTGGCACTTTGTTATTTCTGTAACAAAAAAAAAATGCTATTTAGAAAAAGTGGATTTTACTTCCTGTTGACGGTATTTTAATGTTAAGAAAATCTTAAGAAAATTTATATTTCTGAGATTCCACACCCGTAGAGATATGACAGAAACATGGGGGTGAATGTCCCCCTGTGACAGGACGGATGAAAATGCATACATCCAAAGATTTTAGCATACTCGCCAAAATGTGATATTTTACTCGTTGCGATAAAAACCAAAGCAATACCGTACATCACTTAAGTGCCACCGGTGACTTTTAGACATTAATAAAAACAAATCTATTCTGAGTTATCACCCTCGGGTGGAACAGTGGTGCAGTGGTTAGGGGCCGTCCATAAATGACGTCACGCACCTAGGGGGGGGGGGGGTCAGACGTTTGTGACGATGTGTGACGAGGGGGGGGGGGTTTGAGAAATGTCACATCAAAATGCGAAACTTTAAATAAAATAGACAACACGTTCTACTTGATTAAATATACTTTTTAATAAATGTTTTCTCCTACAACATCAGAGTGCAGCGGCACATTAAATACGCACTACAATTACAATGGTTTAAAGCGATTTGAAACATGTTTTATTTTTTTGGGGGGTAGGGAGGGCAGAGCTTTGTAACGTCATATTTGAGAGGGGGGGGGTCTGACTTTTCGTGACGCCGTGTGACGAAGGAGGGGGGGGGTCAAAAATCGTCCAAAATCGCGAGACGTCATTTATGGACGGCCCCTTAGTACACTGCGCTATCAACCTGGTGACCCACGTTCGATTCCCATGCATGGCTCACATCAGAGGCAAGTGACATCTGGACTGGTTCTGGCTCATCTTCACCAATCGGCGCAGACCGGTGTCGATACGTCTAGTCAAACATGGCATAGGGAGGCAATCATCCAGCAGTGGATCAGAGGCGTAGCTAGGGGGGGGCAGGGGGTACATATGTCCTCGGGCGCCAAGGTAAAGGGCCGCCAAAATGAGGCTTACAACGTGACATTATAACTTATTGCGGCGGGTGCGGCAGCCTGAAACTACTGCACAAATCTACACCTCAACCTAAAAGTTTATATATCCCGCCACACACAGCCTACATGTCATGTAAGTACATTTTGGTACGCGCGCCTATTAAGAACTTACATAGAAGAACGTCCCAAACAACAGACAGGCGCAGTCTTTCAGCCTTAGTCACTGGCCTGTTTTTTGGTGGCGGAAACTACGACGGCCTATTTTTAGTTCTTATTAGTGACACCACCACGCTCCAGGCGGCTGCAGCAGCCGGAGCAGCCCACGCACGTCAACATAGCGTGGCCTTCATTTAGCAGCACAATGTTATGACAATGCTGCTGTGATGACTGGGCATATATCCGGCCTTCAACAACGAATATGTGACAAAAATCACAGAGCATTGTTTGTCAAATGTGACAACCACAGCTTAAATTTAGCAGGAGTACACTCAGCTAAACAGGATCCACTTGTCACATTTTTTGAAACAGTTGAAAGTATATATTTGTTTTTCTCTCGTTCAACAATTCGTTGGGAAGAGTTTAAAAAAGCTGTGCCCATCACAGTAAAGCGGGAGTCTGAAACACGCTGGAGTGCACGATCAGAAGCTGTTAAAGCTATCTATGAAGGACTGGATGAACTAGTAGAGCTGCTAGACAAAATATCGGAGGACGTAACTGTGACGCCTGAAACCAGAAGTGAGCCAGAACAGTTACAGGCATGCGTATTAAATTTTAACTTCATAGTTTTATTACATTTCTGGAATGTCATTCTTGGAAACATTGATCGTGTTCAGAAGCGCTTACAGGATCCTACTATGAATTTCAAGGAAGCAGCAACTGATCTTGAATCTTTGGAGCATGAATTTGTCAAGCTTCGTGATGATTTTAGCCAAGTTGCTGTAGAAAACGCCAAAACAAGATGCACAGCCTGGGGGATCGATGTGGACAGAAGAATTAGGCGACGTCAGAAGATGCCAGGAGAACTGGCAAGAGATGCAGGACTTTCACCAGAAGAATAAATTGTGCGCGTTATGAAGAGTGTATTTTATCGACTTCAACAGGAGATGTCAACACGGTTTTTACGACTAAAAGACCTGAACACAAAATTAGAATTTCTGCTGAACGTCAAAACTCTTCTATCCGACACAGATGTCGATGCAATTCGTCGAAATTGCACAGATTTTGGAAATTTCTATGACACCGACATCAATGGCCACGAACTTTTCACAGAAATTGGAGATTCCAAAATGCTGCTCAGTAACCGGAATGAAGTTCTACCAGAAACTCCTTTGGATCTTCTTGGTTTTATTGTGTTTTATGGAGACGACGTATTTCCGAATTTGCGAATTTCACTGCAAATTGTATTAACAATAGCAGTTTCAATTGCAAGCTGTGAGCGGTCGTTCAGCAAATTGAAACTTATTTTGTCGTATTTGCGTGCTTCAATGGAACAAGATCGTCTCAGCGATCTTGCTCTTCTTAGCGTTGAAAGAGAAACATTGGGAAAAACAGATTTTGATTACGTGATTGACCAGTTTGCGACAATGAAATCAAGAAAAAATAATCTTTTGTAGACTATGTCAACCAGTCTACGACAGTGACTGAGTGAGCCATGTAATATAATTTCTATAAATTTGCTTCTTTAAATACAATGTTTCATTAAAATGTTTATTGTTATTCCTTATTCGATGTATTAGGAAAATGTGATTAAACGGGGGGGGGGGGGGGGGGGGCGCCAATTTTATAGTTCGTCCCCGGGCGCAAAATATCCTAGCTACGCCTCTGCAGTGGATTGACAGAGGGCTATACGTGATTAATTTGATCTCCTCTATTTCCCATTGGAAACGAAGGTTGTTAGGCTTATGACCCGATAAATGTGGTCATTCTTGGACACTTTGCAGGACGTGCGACTGCTGTCGGATGTGACAGAACTGAAGGAGGCGAAGGCAAGGCGTGGTTGCTATCAACGATGTTGGGCATGGGGGTTAAGAGGGGGTTTGGCTGAATGGGGGAAAGAGGTGTGGGACAACTGATGGTCAAGAGGGGACACACACGGCCTCCCCCATGCTTCCCCGTAGAATCATCACTACTGCGATAAGCCTACAATCGGGGGATAGCAGGGAAATTTTGGACTGCGTCCTAGGGTTCACAACGGAAAAGGGGTGATTAAATTAGTTCATTTGCAAGAGTCAGATGGCGTTCGTCCAGAAGTGGATAGGCCATGGCTGACTCTTTGCTGTCGCGTGAGTTGCCCACGACACTGCAGCACTGCAATACGAGTACACATACCTGGGGACAAAAGGCAACGTGTTTTCATATCGTCGCGGAGTTTAAATTACATCAACGCACTCAAGTGACCCCCACAATTCCTTAGCAACATACAGTGCTGCAATATGGGACCTTTCTTGCAAGTATCAAAATATAAGAATAAACGTTTTACCCTTTCTGGCAATTAAATATGTGGTAAGATGTTAAAACATCAAACAGATAACCTTTTGCAAAGAGCACTCTGTCGGGCAACTTGCCGATGACTAAAATATATTCAGAACGGAGGTCTACTTATGATCTTTTCTCCACAACAACACAATGAGTTTAATACGTAGGCTTTCGCCACCGATATTATTCATGATTATATCGTGGGTTTGCTATCGAACATACAACCGGTGTGCGCTGAAGTAGTAACAGGTTAGTAGATTTTGTTCACTTGACAAACCTTACTGATTGCGTCAGGTGGAGATGGGTGTAAGACACATTTTCTTACATGATCTAACTAAAAACACCTTTATATGCCGTGCAAATAATATTTTTAGCACGTCCATCAAATCAAGTTACAAACTTAATTTAATACAATGTTATTTTGTGTATGCAGACATTACAGATGGGACTGGCACCTTAAACTCATTACTGAAAAATCCGGTGAAGTCTTTAGCGGCTGTAACCCCTGTTAAAGCCCAGCATCTCAGCAGTGCTGGCTCAACGCTCCGACAGGGCCATTGTGAACCCCGTAAAATAACCGACCACTGGAGACGAATCTCAAATTTCGAACGACACGAGAAATGAGCGATCCTTGGGACCACGTTGAATATGCTGTGGGACTGAAACGCCCTGTGCTTGTGAAAAGTGCCAATTTTTCAAGACGGATAATGAACAATGCGACAACAACACAAGCATCGATGGAATTATTCGAACTGCTTTCCGTGTCCCCAGCGTGCTGGTACCTGTCATCTTTCTCTACGTGTGTTCAGAGAA